TAGGAGATCTCTTTCGTCAGCCCTGGCGGCGTGAGATGACGGAGGTGCAGATATGTCGTAGATGCAGCTGCTTGCGTTGATTACGCTTTAGCCGCAGGCATCCAACGGCTTGCAACAGCTGCGGACTGCAGATCGTTGAACTTGATGACACCTGTCTTCGGGTCCCGTGGTGCCTGATGGGACAATTTCGGGCACCCGTGGTGCCTGATGGGACAATTTCCGGGCCCCGTGGTGCCTGATGGGACAATTTCTGGCACCCGTCCCGCTTCATGAGGATGATGAGGCACCTCTTGATTCCTCTCCATGCTCCCTTCTATCGGTTCTAACTGTGTCCCGCATCCAGGGCGAGTAATCGCACAGATTGAACTCCTTGGCTATGTATCCATTCCCTTTGTGACCACGTGTCCCTTCCTTCCCTGTCCCATCACCAGCAGGCCGAAAATGGCGCGAGGGCCAGCAGAAGGGCAACCAGGAGACCGAAGAAGATGTACATAGTGACCCTTGGACAAACTCCACCATCTCCCGCGAAGACTATCAGGCTCAGCTAGAGCAAGATCGCACAGGAGAGCATCCCCGTCGCTATTCATAGAACAACTGCGATGAACGTCTTGTCGCAGACTGCTGTCTTCGTTGGCCCACAGCTGCAGCGCTGGAGCTTGAAAGTTGAAGCTGAAGTCCGTATCGTTTACAGTGTACTTGAGGGAAAGAGAACAAGGACAACACTGTGATCTTGAAGCTGACGACTGCTGTCTTCGTTGGCTGACGCTGCTTTTCGGCTTTTTCTCGCACTCAGGTGAGTCCAGCGTTGTTATTGATCACATAGTCATAGATCTTGAAGCTGCTGATTGACCAATGAATTTGGAACTTCCAACTCTAAGGCGTTTCCAGCATATAGCGAAGTGATTGAAGTCCGTATCGTTTACAGTGTACTTAAGGGCGATCACGAAACAGCCTGCTGCGAGGTCACAGCGATCCCGCCTCCCCCATGATTGACTGTCGGACTCGCAACAAAGGAAAATTTTGAATTACTTGTGTTCACTGTTCTCCTCTTTCTCTTTCCCTTAAGTACACTGTAAACGATGCGGAGAACTTCAGCTTCAAGATCTACGACTGTGTTATCAATAACAACGGTGGTCACCTGAATGCGAGAAAAACCCGAAAAGCAGCGTTACCCACGTGTTCGCACTGCGATTAGTGGACTCTTTCACTTCTGCCAGGCAGTCCCCGGTCCTTGTAGTCAAGAGTCTGAAGACGCGTTTTTCTTGCTATCCTTCTCGAAATGTGCCACTTTTCCCATGGAGACAGCAACAGCGGACGTGGTTAAGGACTATCCAATTTCTAATTCAAGACGTCCTCATAGTTGTACAATCTCGAACGAATCTGGAGTGAATCGTGCACATTGTCAAGGACTTTCGAGAAAGTAATAGCGTACTAGCGTTGCTGTCCATTTTCCCTTAGCCGTCATGCTCTCTCTCTCTCTCTCTCTCTCTCTCTCTCTCTCTCTCTCTCTCTCTCTCTCTCTCTC